ACTAGACTGAGTGATATCTCATTAGACATGGAATAAAAGAGTTATAAAACTGCAGCCAAAGAAACATCATTGTTTAATTAAGACCTTCGTTGGGCTAGAATGCAGTAAAACATTCCAGACAGAACATAAACTTGAGAAGGGATTATTCCCATTTTGCACCATCCCAACACCAAAAAGAGATCTAATACTCTTAGTATAGCCTGAAAGTAAATACAAAGGACAACCTGGACCATGTTCAGCCAACATTTTTCCCCAGTCCACACCTTGTGCCCTGTGCAGATACAATTTCTTTTCTTTTTTCATTTTGAGAGTTCCAAGTGGAAAAGATATACCTAGTTAGAGAGTTAAATTTGTTCTCCATTTGCAATCACGTACCAAGTTTCATACAGATCAGCAGGCAGTATCGAATTTGCAGTACAGATTAAACACCCTTATTCCTTCTAGCACGAAAGTAACGAGTTGCCGTCACACATTAACCAACCCAAAGTTATAAAGAGGAAGAACTCAGCCTATGTAGAATATATAGTTAGTCCTAAAACCGGATAAAGAGGAAAATTCCGTCTAGCGGAAAAGTAACAACTTGACATCGCACATAAAACAACCAAAAGTTGTAAAAAGGAAAAACTTCTGCCTATGTACAAAGTATAGTAAATTTCAAAAGCGGATAAAGAGGAGGATTACAGTAGTTTGACGGTCTGGTGAAATCAGTCAAACATTAATCAATATGATAATCATCTGGATTACATATGATCAAACAATAAAAAGGAAGGATATAAATGTTATAAACATTTTCCTTCTAGCCTAAGATAAATGTCAATTGTATAAAGACCATAAAAACAAACAAGAAAAAACTAATACATTCAAAACAAAACCCAGAATGTAAAAATCAAAATGAACTCATCAAAGAACTAACAATTAGCCCCAGATGGATTTATAGGCCAATGAAAAGAAACTAACAAAACCAAAACAAACCCACAATGTAAAAATCAAATAAGGATTCCACAGAGAAATAAGCCTAGTATTTAAATGGAGAAGGGAAAAGGGGCCAGCCCGTTAGCAGTTGATCCTAAGGGTTGGATACTACAGAATCACAAGCCCACAAGTGTAAAGTAGTACAACACAAACAACACAAGCCAATCATGGACCATGTAGATAAAGGAATAAATAGATAAAAAAGAGGATATATACCCTAGAGATAAGGTGATCAAGAAGAGCAAAATGGGTATGACAGTGCTTGCATCTATAGATGTTTCCTTCAAGACTGATCACAAAAAGCCTACCCATCTTCTTCAAATTATACCCTTAAAAAACCACAAAACAAGAGAGACAGTTTTATCAGCAAAATCAAGAAAAGTCCAGATTGAAAAAATAAAACAAGAATCAAGGAGAAATAGATCGTGACCCACTATAATACAATGTGCAAAATTCAGAAAAAAGACTAACCCCAGATGACAATTGATGTTACCTTTTTGCAGCAGAGTTTTGGAAGTAGAAAACAAGTAAGCCACCCAGAACGGTTGAGCCATGTGTTATTTATACCTGTGGAGGGACTGCATAGAAAATTATAAAACTCTTCATAAGCCCATTGGCCAATTGGAATTTAACTCCTTGTTTTTCTTTTTTGCTTTTTCTTTATAATTTGCATTATGAGAAAATGACGAAAATGGTCCAATTTTTAACCATTTTCTCTCACTTCGGTCGTTCTGCATATTTAGGAAGCATTATAATATAATCTTTTTAAAGGGAAATTCTGAAATTCCATTAATTATGATTAAAAGGAAAAATAATTTTACTGCTTTGATGATTGGTCAATTATTCTAGAGTTACCGGTCAATTACTGGATATTAATTCCAAACTATTTACCCTTTAATTTCAAACTATTTATCATTTAATATCCGGGCCCAAATTATTTACTTCTCTTACCCATGCGGCCCAAACTATTTATCAGGTCCATGCATTAGCCTATAACCCTCATTTAATGCCTCAGTTACCGCTATTTCACCTGGCCATTTCTTTCATTTCAAAAATCCCATAGCCAAACCATGAGAAATCATATTTCACACAGTAGTTACTGATTTGACTTGTGAATTTTTCTTCAGATTTTGTTTTTATCTTTAATATTATTGTACATGAGTTTCACTACAAAATTCTCTTTCTATATTAGTATTTTTCTTTTGTATTTATTTGTATTTCTGAACCCCTATGTTGTTGCAGTTATATATTAAATTTCCTAGCTCTAATTTTTGTGTGTGTATGAAGATCCACCATTGATGAGCTTGAAGCTCCTGTATTTAAAATTTTATTTTAAAGATTTATTATTTGATTTGATGTGGGTGATATAAAATATTGATTACAGTACCTTCAAGTAAGCTTTCCCGATCTGAAATTTTATGTGTATTTGAATATTCACCATTGTTGCGCTTGAAGCTCTTGAATTTAAAATTTTTATTTTGAAGATTTCTTGTTTGATTCAAAGTGTGTGCTATTAAATATTACTTATAATACCTTCTGGAAGTTCATACTAAAATTTGATAGCACTTGGAGCTGATTTGAGGTGATTGAGATCGAAATTTTCAGCTGAAAATCAAAGAAGAACACAGCTACCCAATAGTACACTGATACGATATACAATATGTTGTAGGAGTATATAGCTATACTGTAACATTATACTATTATAGTTTACAATATATTACAACGGTATATTGTAATAATCAAAGAAGAACACAATTATCTAATAGTATACCGTTGTATTATACAATATACTATAGGAGTATATAGTTATACTGCAACAGTATACTATTATGGTATACAACATATTGTTATAGTATACTGTAATAGTATGCAATATACTGTAACAGTGTGTTGTAATAGTATACAATATACCATAATAGTATATTTATTACCAGTAAATTCACTTTCCTTTCCCCTTTTAATTTGCTTTAAGCTTTTATCCCGCGTGAGGGGCAAATTAAAAATGCAAATCTTTTTTTCGTTTTGATTTATTCTATGACTTGAATTCCAAGACTTTTGACTTCTGCAAAACATTAATCTGCCATTTGAGGACCTTGAAGCTCTGAAACTCATAAATTGGGTTTGTTGAGTTTGTGGTTATTTTGAAACTCAAAACAAGAAAAAAAAATTTAACTCTTTGCGTACAATCATATACCCAGTTGGTATAACTATATACTATACTGGTATCATATGTTAGTTAATGTTTTTTGGTTGTATTAGCTACATTTAATTGGTACGTTGATTTTTCAAAAAAAAAAAAGAATAATAAAAATAATGAAAACAGTAAATGAAATTAGATTATGAAGAGAAAAAGAATATAAAAAAAAGAGTTAAATGAAATTAGAAAAGGAAAAAAGAAAAAAATAGGAAGAAAACGAGAAAAAAGAAAAGGAAAAAAGAAAGGAAAAAAGAAAAGAAAAGAAGCACAGAAATAAAAACGAATTGGAGAATAAAGAAAAAATTTCCCACAAAAACTACTATGGATAGGAAATGTAATTAGTTTGATGGGTAGAAAAATAAAATGGCAGATAAAGATAAATAGTTTGTTTTTGTAGGTAACTGTGTCATTCTCCCTATTAAGAATCGAGAATGAAAATATCAATTGTTCAATATTGGGGAGGAGATTGATTTTAAAGTAAAGTTTGGAGATAGAAAATGATTTTCACTCAAACAATAATAATAAAGATAAAAAAGATCATGCTCAGAGTTGACTGTGTTGTTTGAAATTAAATAGTCAAGGATATGAATCAGTTATTAGGATAACGGATAATCCCTTTTTATTTGGTATGCTGATCCGCATAATCACCAGCGGATCTACTATTTTTTTTATTTTATTTTCCAAGTTAGTGTATAATAATAAGAATTACAAATTGTAGATTAGTTTAAGATAATAGCGTGTAAAAATTTATATATAATCAGAGCACAAAACTTAAAAGATAAAACATCAAAGTATTCAAACTCTTTCATATAACTTTGGATGGTTTTGAAAACCATTCTCAGTAAAAGAAGTGTAAAAATTGCACGGGGCGTCCTATTTGGTCGCTCCTATTTAACCTATACCCATTTTATTAAAATTTTTTTAACTTGTACCTACTTTTTAAATAACTTCAGCCCTCTTTCTCCTCCTCCTCCTCCTCCTCCTCCTCCTCCTCCTTCTTTCTTCTGTTGTTGGTGCTGCTATGGAACTTCAGTTCATGGGTTAAAAACAAATTATAAATAATTACAAATGAACTAAATAACTAGCTGTAACTATATTAGATAAGTAGATTCTTGGTGTATATGTTTGTTTCGGATCTTGGTCATCTGTATTTTGACCCTTGTATTATCATTCCATTTTTTCTTCTTTCAAAGCTATGTAATAGTAAATTTAGACTACGTTACTTGTTGATGTAACCAATTAATTCAGAGGCACGTTAGTTTCAGGTGCAAGATTTTTGTTGAAATTGGTGACTTTAATGATCAGTGAATGATGATGAGTTATTAGATTTGTGCATACTCTCGTTTTCCTTTCTTGTTGCATAATTACAAACAAAATGCAGATGACCAAGATCCCAAACAAACGTAAATAATGCTGAAGTTTTTACAAATGAACTAAATAACTTCAGTTCTAGAGCTGAAGTTCGTCAGTTACAAAAACAAAAACTTTAGCTCTAGAGCTGAAGTTCGCCAGTTACAAAAACAAAAACTTCAGCTCTAGAGCTGAAGTTCGCCAGTTACAAAACAAAAACTTCAACTCTAGAGCTGAAGTTTGCCAGTTACAAAAACAAAAACTTCAGTCAGTTACACCAGTTACAAAACAAAAACTTCAGCACACTTGCTACTTCAGACCCGTCTACAAGAATGCTGAAGTTTTGCGTGATTGTCTTTGCTACTTCAGCCTCGTATGTTGAGTTGCAAAGCGGACACAAGTTAAAACATGATACAAAAAGCGGGTATAGATGCAAATGCCCCAAAAGAAGTCCGTGGGGATTGAAGTAAAGACTTCCCACTTCGACAAAGTGATGACTTTTATTAACAATGCTATAAATATTAAAGCAATTAGAATTTCAACTGTTCCAATACAGAAGCACAACTTTTCCAAGAAATTAACACATTTAAGAGAATGATTCTGTGCTATAATCAACAGTGAGCATACAGCCTATAATGTTGATGCCTTCCTACAGAAGAGCTGCCTATAGGTGGCAACTGTATAAGAAATCAATCAAGTTGAAAATTAATGATCTAATCAAAAAGTACAATTAGAAAGGTGCTATGCTCTTTGGCGTCATTCTTTCAACTTTTCCAACCCGGTGAGGAGGCCACACAACATGAGTAACCCTTCCACGAACCAAACCCAGAGGGATCTGAAACAGAATACAAGTCAATGAGAACTAATCAAATGAGCTAGTTCAAAAGTTAATCGCAAAACCAATATAGGCACGCTAAGAGTAGACTTTTTTCCTCGCTCTACAATGACTTCCATTTAGGAACCATTAAAATGTCACTATACACTAAAGAGTCATCATTTTGATTTGAAATGCACATCAGAAGGTCTAGCAACAACAGGATCTAATCTATTTCCATTTAGAGACTGTAGCAAGCAAGTAATTTTTGGACAGATAAGTCCAAAAGATGCACTCGTGAAGCAATTCATGACAAGTAGAAAAGATGGAACGAAATCACCTACTCATGCAAAGGAGAGAAGTTAACATTTTCCATTGGAGGTATCAGAAAGTACCCCTAAACCATAAATCAGTTGGAGGCATGATCAAAAGAGTACATGTAATTCAGTAGCTTATGCCAAAATGATTTCTAATTCTTTTGAAACAGTACTTCCCACCAGCTAATCTTTCCTAACATAGAAGACTGACACATATGTATTAAGTTAGTAGTAACTTTACAGAGTTTATCGGATTCTTTATGTGTGAAATTCCTATTCAATCAACAGATCAATATGGAGTAATATGTAACATACAGGACCAAAAGATCTCGAGTCCAAGCTCCAAGCATGATTGTCTCCTTCAACCCAACAATGTCCTTCAGGGATCAATACTGCATCATAATGAGGGGTACTGACCAAGTCACCTGGTAAGGCTGTTATTCTCTTTATATGTTTCTCTTTATGATTTGCTGGAGAGCTGAAATGAATGTCAACTAAAAATAAGACTTGATAGCTTCAAATAAGAAAACACATTAAACAATATATAAGCAGGCTGGCATCTGCTCTATCCTCGAAACATGAGATGAAAGTATCGTACCAATAGATTTGCTATTGGTTTAACATATACTTTCTAATGACCTGATACTAAGAATTTACTATTGGTTTAAAAACAAATATCTCAAACTTTAATGGTTAGAATAGACTTGGGCTGTATAAGGATAGAATATTTTAAACAAGGGGAGATCCTTGTTGACCACTTAGTTTTTCTGGTCAAACAAGATCTAGCATAAAGCACAAGAAACAGTGGTCATCAACTGAAGTTGAATCAGCGCATCTTTATAAGCCCCAAGAGAATCATAGCTAAAGAAGAGCAAACTGTTTAGAGGTCATTGTACTATCACGAAGAAGGCAACTTCCTCCATAAACTAAATTTGAAAGCAATTTCAGATAAAAACTTCTAGCAGTGTAGCAGACTTCGCTTTTTTTATCATCTGACCAGATGCAAAAGAGTCATGTGCTATTCACATGACTATGTACTTGGGTATACTAGACATTCAAAGGGCATGGTGCAAACTCCTGCTATATGTGGCTCACAGGGTTAGTGAAAAAGTTGGACCACATTGGGTCTATTGTATGCAACCTTATTTCCACAAGAAACTATTTCCACTGGGTATACTAGACATTCAGAAAAGAAAAAAAGGGGCAACTTAAACAATCTTTTCCTACTTTGCCAGAAGTCCAGGGCTCACCAATAAATGTTAGGAAAAGAAGGCAATGCAAACTAACTCATTTTAACTTTTTGGGTCTATTGTATGCAAACCTTGTTCCTGCAAGAAGCTGTTTCCACCGGGTATACTAGACATTCAGAGAAAAAATCCAACTTAAACAATCTTTTCCTCCAAACTTTGCCAGAACTCACCAATAAAAGTTAGGAAAAGAAGGCAATTTAAACAAACTCATTTTAACCTTTTATACAGTACACAAAGTATGAGCATGAAAGATTACAGGGAAAAGTGGCCTTCTTTGCAACAGTTTAAGGGCCTCTAATGCCCTTTATTCTTTCAAAAATGAATAATGATTATTTCCCCCAAAAACACATTGAAAGAGATTCTGATCTTTCACTGGATTTTCTCTTCACGAAAAGCTCTCCATAATTCACCACATATGCATGTCTTTCCATGAAGCAACATGATCTGACTATTCGCTTGATTTAATTACCTTGCTATGGATGTAGGAGCACCAATTAAATTCCTATGAGATTTATAGGAGTAGAGAAGTTCTTGGAAATCTATGCGACTATGAAAGAGTTGCAGGACCTTTGACATAACAGGCAATAAAAAATATGAGACTCCATTCTTTGTCAGTGAACTTAACGTTACATCTAAAATATCTAAATCAGCAAAAGAATATGTTTATGTTGAACATTCAAACCACAATTATTTATTCCATGGTTCAGAATCTTTAGATGCAGTCAGAAACTCTCAAAACTACATATGGACTGAGTTCATTTCTTATTTCAACCTATATGCAAATATATCTGCAAGACCACCAAATATCCAATAATCAAACTTAAATAGCCCATTTTGACTTCATCTCGACAAGTATAACCTAAGTTTTCCTCTTTCTCAAAGGATTAGCGAGTGAATAAAGAATCTTGAAACTAAAAAGCTATCTAGTTAATTGAACTCAACATGATAGCAAGCTTGTCAACAGTTACCTGAACACAACCACATCGCCAAGTGAGAACTTGAATTTTTCCAGGCAAAGCTTCTCCACTATAACAAAGTCACCTGCACCACAACGACTAATGCGGAAGTTTTCATCTTTGTCCGCAGCAGGAAACATGAAGAACGTAAAAGAGAGGAAAAAGAGTAGTTACGAGTCAAGGATCTCATGGGGCTGTCATCATGTGGATTAAATGTAGGAGACATTGAAATTCCACCAACAGGGACAATACTGGCATAACGATCAGATACGGTCAGGCCTATGAGCCCAAAGGTGAAATAATTCTTCGTTAAATTCCAGAGGAAGTTCACGGTTCCCATATTTGCACTGCCTAAATCATCTGCACATGTTCAAAACCCAAGAAGAAGTTCTAAAAAAAATCAACAAATATAAGTGGTTTCCCAAAGGAAAAGCAAGTAAAACTACAGATTCTATTAATCCTAGTTTTCTATTAGTGGTAAAACCAGGAATTTCGCTAAGGATGTTTAAGATTTAATATATATGTACAAAAGTAATTTTTGATGTACGCAGTATAATTTTCCGACGAAGATTGTTCAACAGATCACCCTTCCATCCATGTGGCCCTGCCACTGTTGCTAATAAATGCGGCTCTGCCACTGTTGCTAATAAATGTGGCTCTACCACTGTTGCTAGTAACATCTGCCACTTTTTGGACATTAACCAACCACTCCTTAATCACAAACAAGTTGGGATCGGCTATATGAAACCTCTATATCCGTTCCGCTATGTTTGGGCCCATTTCATCCTACCACACCGTCAATAAATTATTTATTGAGAATAATTGCTTCTCTTCGTATGTATTAGGTTTTTTTATATTAATTAAATAGGATATTTAGATTAATAAGAAGGGCAGTATATTAATTTAACTTTTCACTTAGGAGCTTCCCACTTTTTAAGTAGCGTAGATTATAGCAGATATTTCATAATAACTTCGATGTGACATGTATTAACTAAATAGATGGGAAGTGAGACTACAGATGAAGCAGAAGATAATCACAATAGAAGCTCCGGCAGCCGATGACGGCCGTCGCCGAGGTGATGTTAGAAGGTTAGAGCGATTAGGGCTTTATTGTGGACCTTAAATGGGTCCGTAAGTTGGGTCTGCAAAAGCCAGTGGACTTTCAACTTATCTTAATAATAATTTATTTTACTATTTTGTTTACATAAGTTAAACTGGATATAGTTGATTGGAAATTGGAATGGATGCATTACACTGGATACTTGGTATGAGTCAGAAATCACTAGTTAAACATATACTTTTTGATTGTCTTGATTCTCAAAAGGTATGTGATCATGCATAATTATAGTCCTAAGAAAAATAAGCAGTATATTCGGCTAAAGAGTCCGCAATCGAATCCTACAAAGAACTAACACTTGGCTATAACTTCTCATCTTTGAATATCATCTTTGTCAAAAGTAAGGAAATTAGGACAATGCATTGCTTAAACTGAGGTACTACGATAGTCCACGAAAGAGCTTACAGAAAAAGAGTTGGTATATTTGAAACAAAGAAATAAAGAAACTTCAAACAAATGAATCAAAGACCAATATCATGTCCTGCCAAAATTCTTTATCCTACAACAATTTGATCAACTTCTAAACGAATCAGAACATGAATCCGTCTGCAATTTCAAATTTGGAGCTTAGTTATAACAGAGTTACTGGGAGCTTGCACTTAATAATTACTCTTCCAAGAAAGCGTGTCATTAAAGATGAAACTAGTAGGGTATTAGATACAACTAAACACGGTTGAGAGCAAAGGCCTACTAACAATTTAAAATCAAATTTGCAATTCTTAAAAAAGGTTATGAGATTTACCTTTTCTTTAATTATTTTCACATTCATCAAGCATATGAAAACAAGTCATCAACCTCCAAAGATTACTCTAATGTACAGATACTCGCATTGCCCATGCAAACAGAGGGACTATATTTATTACTCAAATACTTGTCAGTAATACAACTCGAAAAAGAAAATAATAAGAAAATTAAGCCAGACCTTGATATTCTCCACAATGTAACCTACTTGTGAACAACTGAAATGAAACTATCTAAGAGTTTCAAGCCCTAATCAGAGCAATGAAGAATTTTATTCGAACTGGACAACTAAATCAAGAGAATAATATACTAGGAGTATTGATGAAAGAAGAAAGGAATAGTGCTTGTGAAAACTCACTTGAAGGAAAAGAGAAGCCGGATGAACCTTCCAAGTTCGCGTCAAAGGGAATAGCGCTGCCGTTTCTTCGGAACCCTCCAAAGCAGTCGATGCCGCAATCTACAATTAAATTTTGAAAAAAATCAGTCCTTTTGAAATTGATTCACAGATTTCAAATAATGATTTTGATAATTAAATCTTTGATTTCTTCTAGGAAGTTCCCAGATATGATAGTCAAGTCATGAAGCTTTTTCTCCAGCGATAAAGCATTCGACTTGCGAAGTGAAGAACTCATTCGTACCCAAATAATAGCAAATCAAACAAATTCTCTGGAAGTTTACATGAGAAATCAAAATAATGAGATAAGAAGAAGCTTATGATTGAGTAAAGGCCCGGGATAGTTGCTTTCCTACTTAGCAGCTCTGAAATGTTTGATGGAATTTGGGAAGGGCTAGGCCGAAAAAGAGAAAAAAACGATCACAAAATATTGGGCAAAATACCTTAACAGCTTGTTTGGATGGTTGTTACGCATTTGTCATCATTTTATGATAATACGCACTAGTAATATGAAGAATAAACTTAAAATATTATTAAAAAAATTATGATACATGGTAAAATTACTATATAAAAAGGTAGGGTAAATGATAAAATAAAATTATTGAATAATAATAAAGGGTGATATTGAGAGAAAAAGACGAGGTAACGACGTGACCACATCAAATCGGTCGTTACATAAAGTGGCACATTTCGTCATGATGTAACGACGGATTTAACGATACGATATAATAAAATTTAAGTAACAATCAAAACAAACATCGTATTTAAAGTAACAATACGCTACAATACAATGGGTAACAACCATCCAAACAAGCTGTAAAATACCCCCGAAACGTGACACGAATTATTAATTACAACATTATACTATTTGTGGTTTAATTACCCTCCTCAACTTGGCCTTTTGATAGCCATTATCCTCCTGAACGCTGATATGGCAAAGAGTGTGAGTGCACTCACCTAACACGTGAATTTTTCTGTATACGTGACATTTTTAAAAAATATATATATATTTTTACCTTTTTAAATATGTTACTTTTTTAGATAAATTTTTTCGAATACAATTTATAATAAAACTTGGATAGAACTACATTATTTATGCTAAATTTTATTATTTAGCTAAAAATAAAAAAGTTTTAGTTAATATTTTTTGAATTTGACCTGAAAATAAAGATTTATACAATTAAAATAAATAGTCAAGTCATCTAAAAACTGGTAGGTTGCTTGAAAAAAGAAGACGCTGCTCGGAACAGAAATACCTCAGTAGCAGAGGAACATGTCCTTGAGTTAGTTCTTCATTGCCGGACCTAATTAGAATTATTAATGGCCTCATGATTTTTGCTTTGAAGAAGCTACGCTATATCCCATTAAATTTATTTTTAACAATTGAATATTTTTGGATTATAAACTCGAATTACAAAATTCCTTAATTTAAGGCACTAATAATAAATTGTACATGGAGAGAGATGGCAGAGAGGGAAAGGTAGATGAGAGAAAAAAAGGAAAAGGGTGTGAGAAAAATAAAGTAAAGTGATTTTTTGAAAAAATATAGAATTCTCTAGAATGTCCCAGTGAAGTATCCTTGATATTTAGTAGACATATCTAGATGTTCTAGAATGTTATATGAAGATAAGGCTAGAGACATCTAGATATTCTAGAGTATTATGGAAAGATAAGGTTCACTAGATTTTTCTTGTACATGTTCTAGAATAGTATCTAGAACCATCCTTAGAGAAGTATAAATAGGAGTGGTCTTAGGCATTTGTAATGAAGCCAAAAATTAAGAAAGCCTTCTTTCCAAAACAAGTTCTCCTATCTAAAATCTATCTTCTCTTTTCAAGCTTCCTTTTCTTTAGTTAGATCCTCCAATCTTAGTTAACGATCTTGGGCTAGCAGAAGGTCTCCAAATAATATTCGTCTTCTGCTATTCTTTACATGGTATCAGAGCCATAAGTCGGCTTCTGGATTTCAAGGTCGGGTTAGTGGTTGATTCAACTGGTTTCTCTAAATGGATTTGGGTGGTCATGCTAATGGACTGGGGATTGAGTTATTGAACCAATCCAACTACAAGGTATGAAAGACTTGTATGGAGTCATACCTTGTTGGTGAGGATTTGTGGGAAGTTGTCAATGGGAGTAACACAAGTCCTCCTGCTGACGCATCAGAAAATAGCAATACACGTAAGAAGTGGAAGCAGATTAATGTTAAAGCGGAGTTTATCCTAAAGAGGTCCATCTCTTATAATTTATTTGATCATATTATAAGGTGTAAATCAGCTCATGAAATATGGAGGACCTTCGATCGGCTGTTCAACAAGAAGGATGAAGCTCGACTACAGATTTTGGAGAATGAGTTAGCTAACACCACTCAAGGTAATCTCTCGATCGCTGAGTATTTTTGAAGGTTAAAAATCTGTGTTTTGAAATTTCTCTATTGAATCCGGACGAGGCTATCTCTGAAGCACGAATAAGAAGAATTATTGTTCGTGGCTTAAAGCCAGAATATATTCCCTTTGTTACATCGATTCAAGGATGGGTTCAACAACCATCTTTGGAAGAATTTGAGAATTTGCTATCGTCACAAGAGCTATTAGCCAAACAGATGGCTGGTGTATCTATCAAAGAAGGGGAAGGAAATGCTCTTGTCACCGATAAGAGGAACTTTAAAGGGAAATCAAGAGATAGCATACACTTTCAATCCTCAAGTGGTTCGAGATCGCCAGGAAAGAAGGGGGAGTCTTCCAGCAACGGTAAAAAACCTTTAAAATGTTACCGTTGTGGCAAAGTCAGGCACATAAAAAGATATTGTCGAGCCAAAGAGAGCAATATAGCTCCAATTGAGGAAGTTGTTGAAGAAGAAGAAAAAGAAGAAGGCTGGGGAAAGTGCTTCACAGCGGAGACTCGAGCAATAAATGCCATGGCTTCTATAAATTTTGAAAGAGACTGGATTGTGGATTCAGGATATGGGCACCATCGCACTGGAGATCAATCCAAATTCTCCACCTTTCGCGAATACAACGGACATGATGCCATTGTTACAGTAGATAATACCGTCCATAATATGGAGAAGGAAGGCACTGTTGTGATTAACGAGAAGCAAAAAGACACTATCACCCTCAACAGTGTCTTTCACGTTCCAGGTATGAAGAAAAATCTATTTTCAGTTGCAAATGTTGTAGATGCTGGAAACTATTTGCTATTTGGCCCACGTGATGTGAAGTTCCTCCGAAATATCAAGGTACTCAAGGCAGATATCATTCACTCAGGTAAGAGAGTTAACGATTTATATGTCTTATCTGCCTCTAATTCATATATTGAGAAGATGAGTAGCAATGATAATACACATCTTTGGCATGCTAGACTTGGACATCTAAGCATGGATAAATTAAAAGCTATGGTAAAGTTGAATCTAGTAAAAGGTTTGCCTAACTTAAGAAATTTTGATGGAGGAGAGGTTTGTGAAGGATGTCAATATGGAAAGGCACATCGTCTTCCATTTGACAGATCCTTGTCAAGGTGCAATGCCCCACTAGAACTTNTGTCTTATCTGCCTCTAATTCATATATTGAGAAGATGAGTAGCAATGATAATACACATCTTTGGCATGCTAGACTTGGACATCTAAGCATGGATAAATTAAAAGCTATGGTAAAGTTGAATCTAGTAAAAGGTTTGCCTAACTTAAGAAATTTTGATGGAGGAGAGGTTTGTGAAGGATGTCAATATGGAAAGGCACATCGTCTTCCATTTGACAGATCCCTGTCAAGGTGTAATGCCCCACTAGAACTTTTTCACAGTGACTTGATCGGGCCAACGAGAACTCTTTCATTTTAGGCTACTCTTATATGCTAATTTTCATTGATGATTTTACTAGATTCACTTGGATTTATTTTGTGAAGCACAAGTCATAAGTTTTCAGAAAGTTTGTGGAGTTCAAAGAAACTGTTGAAGGTGAACTCGATTCCAGAATAAGGCGGCTACGAACTGATAATGGCGGTGAGTTTACATTAGATGAGTTTCTTTCCTTTTATCGTCAGCGTGGCATTAAAAGAGAGCTGACATGCGCTGATACGCCATAACAAAATGGAGTGGCTGAAAGGAAGATCCGACACTTAACCGAGACATATAAGAATTGGCTTCATGCCAAGAATTTACCTAGAGCCCTGTGGGCTGAAGGTATGAAATGTGCAGCGTACGTGATTAACAGGATGCCGCTTTCTCCAAATAATATGAAGTCTCCCTATGAATTAATGTTTGGAGAAAAGCCTAGCGTGAAACACCTTAGGGTTTTTGGCTCTATTTGTTATGTTCACATTCCGGATTCTCAAAGGAGCAAGTTAGATGCCAAGGCAAGGAAATGCATCTTTGTTGGATATGATGAAAGGAAAAAGGGATGGAAGTGCATGGATCCTAAAACTCATCTCTTTGTTGTTTCAAGGGATGTCATATTCGACGAAGTCTCTTTGTATTATGGAGTTGCGCAAGAAGGGGCAGGTTATAAACCCATGAACCCTGAAGCATCAAATTTGCCTATTACAAGTACTTCTTTAGATAATACAGTTGTTGAGGAGCTAAGAGAAAGGGGGAGCTCGAGAACTCAACTACATGAAACTCAACAAGAAGATGATTCATGTGGTTCGGGAAGACCAAAATGAACTATTGTCAAGCCAGCTCGTTTCAGAGATGAAAATTTCTTCAGCACATACTCATGTTCCTTTGCAAGACCAATTGAAGAACCTTCAGTATTTGGGGAAGCAAGACGAGCCAGAAAAATAGTGCTGAGATCTTCACCAAGACATGTCTTAAAGAATCAGTTGAGTTCTTCAGTGACAAGCGTGGGATAGCTTCTAAAAAATCACTTTAAGGGGGAGTGTGAGAAAAATAAAGTAAAGTGATTTTTTGAAAAAATATAGAATTCTCTAGAATGTCCTAGTGAAGTATCCTTGATATTCAGTAGACATATCTAGATGTTCTAGAATGTTGTAGGAAGATAAGGTTAGAGACATCTAGATATTCTAGAGTATTATGAAAAGATAAGGTTCACTAGATTTTTCTTGTACATGTTCTAGAATAGTATCTAGAACCATCCTTAGAGAAGTATAAATAGGGGTGGTCTTAGGCATTTGTAATGAAGCCAAAAATTAAGAAAGCCTTCTTTCCAAAACACGTTCTCTTATCTAAAATCTATCTTCTCTTTTCAAGTTTCCTCTTCTTTAGTTGAATCCTCCAATCTTAGCTAACGATCTTGGGCTAGCAGAAGGTCTCCAAATAATATTCTTCTTCTGCTATTCTTTACAAAGGGTGTAATTGAATCTTCTAATTTAAGGCACTAATAATAAATTGTACATGGAGAGATGACAGAGAATAGGGAAAGAGGAGAGGCGAGAAAATAAAGGAAAAGGGTGTAATTTA